TTTTTTTTATATTTRAAAWAAATGACAGCGGAATGCATTACAWTTCTTATTACACATATACAGCATAATTTTTCATATCTCTGGTTGTATGATTCGTGTCTTCATACCTGTTCCTTTACCTGTTGAGAGGAACTCCACGTACTGTTCGCCAGGCCCAGCACCAGTGTCACCAGCCTCTCAGRAGACTGCCTTCCTCCTTCTTCCTCCCCCTGCCCAGGAACCATCACTGCTTCCTTCTCCTTTGCTCCCATGAAACCTAGTCACGTGCCAAGGGTAACACTTTCCACCATCTCTCACTCTGGGTGGCATTGGGGAACTTGTGGAGGGCCTGGTTCCAGTTAGCACCCAAGAGTCTAGTATAGTGCCTGGTGTGTAATGCTTGCCCAATGTCTGCTGAACAGGTGAAGGGMTAAATAATTAAATAATGCCATTTGTGCCCTCCCACATATAGTGAAAGGTGTTTATAAAATCCATAAATATTTGAAATTGCCTTCCTCTTTATGGTTATGATACTTGATGAGAATACATTCTAAATGTATCTATTAAATCTTTTTTATATCTCTGGGATATATGTGTGTGTGTGTGTGTAAATATATAAATTATATATATATATATTATATATATATATATATGTAATATATATATATATACACACACACACATATACATACTTTTTTATTGTTTTTGTTAAAGGTGATACATTTTGGAGAAGAAGCCATGTCTTTAAAAAAATAAAATTTTATAAAGCAATGGTTTGTTAAAATGTGTTCAGCAACATACCGGTCCCATAGTGTGGTAATAGTTGTTAAAGATAAAATGGTCTCAGGGCTGAAGGAGGTTCAGGGAGGGACGGGTTAATCAGTTTCTCTACCGTGGGGTGTCTCAAAGCTCTCATATGATATTACTTAGGAATATAAGCGAGAGGGATGTGCACACAACAGGGTATTTCTGCAGCGCTACCTTAACATCTACTACAGTGCAAAGTGCAGAGCAAGATTTGAGGGTTTTGTTGTTGATGGTAGTCCACTGCTTTGATCTGGACCCCTGAGAAGCAAGTGAGTGTTTGCATGGACGGAAAAGACTTGATTTCCCTCCTCCTCTTCAGGCATTCCACCTCTGCTTTCAAGGCTGAAGAGAAAAAAAAAATTAAGGGAATTAAAACATTACTTTACCTGTCATAGCCAGTTATCCGACATCTCCAGTGGACTATGCAGCAAATGATTGTGGTTTTGGAAATAGCCTGTCAGCCCCAGCAGCTCTGCAGTAACCTCCCAGGACTATTCCATAAATGCCAGTTCTCTGCACAGTAATTACCAACTCTCTCCATGGTAGATTCACTGGTGTGTCTAGGAGTAATTGCTGGGGAGCTCACACTTTCAAATTTACAAGAGGCAAACAACTTGTATTTACCTCGGGGGTTATCAGGTATTCAAACTGTGCTGCATAAAGGATGCTATTGATCATAGAACTAGGGGAAGAACTCGAATTTGCACCTCAGTACTTTTCTCAATGGGTGAGAACCTGGCTTACTAGATTTATGGTGGAAAGACCGATGTGGATAATTTTCTTCTGAGAATCCCTCCCTTCCTTGAGCTTTGTGAGCAGCAGCGAGTCCAGCCTAACTGTAGTCGGAGCCTTAGGTTGCCCTCRGACAGAACTGGCTGGTTGGTACAGTGTGGAGGAAGAAGATGAAAACCTTGCTCAGATTCTTACTTCTGCCTTTGGTGTTCCTCCTCTAGAGATCTCAGGGAACACGGAGGACATCCCCCTCGTACGCTGGAGGCAGCAGTGGCTGGAGAATGGCACTTTGCTCTTTCACATCCATCACCAAGATGGTGCCCCGAGTCTTCCTGGGCAGGACCCGACGGAAGAGCCCCAGCATGAATCAGCCGAAGAGGAGCTGAGGATCCTGCACATCTCAGTCATGGTAAGGAAAGACGGCCATAGACATGTGAGATGGCTTTTTATTGTCCTAATCAAATGTCTCAGAAGACTACATGGGAGGAAAAAGGTGTAGGCTATACAGCTCTGGGGTTCAAGGACATGGCGTCTGCACCACCTGAGCTCGGGTGAGGGCCGTCTCTGCCGCAGTCCACCACAGCAGATGGCAACAGCAGGAGCGCGTGTAGGAAACAGAAATAACATCACCAAACAGGAAGCCAGAGAGGCTGGGGTCCCGCAGCCCTTCCAAAGGGATGGCCCTATGTGACAAGCAGCTCCCACTAGGCCCCAGCTCTTAACGGCTCCCCACCACCTCCCTATACCACTGCTCGGGGAGCAAGCTTCCAAGACCTGAATCTTTGAGCGATAAAAAGATCCAAACCACAGCCATAGACATAGCTCTGTGAGACCCAACCCCGTCATGATSACTGATCATGGTAAAAGTGCCCTCCCCATTTGTGGGAAATGCAGCCCCTGCTGCTGCTAGTAACCATTGCAGGTATTTGTACAGCACAGTYCCCCAACCACTCTAAGACCACATCCAGATATGGAGTAGCTCTTATAAACCAGGGACAATGTCAAGTGGGACAATGGGTTGCCTTAGAAGGGAATGATTCAACTAGTACATCACCATATTTTAGAGTTGCTGTTCCATAAATGTTTATTGAATGACTCAATCTCTAGCTGCTTGCTGCTACCAAGTCCTCTTTTCTTTTATCCCAGCTGGGAGAAATCAGCATCCTGGCTTTTTCTACTCTTTACAAATAAAGGGCATGCCAATAGATACTTGCTCCCCACTCTGGCCCAGCTGAAAACTACCATCAGCTTCTATGTAGAAAATGAGAGATGCTTCCTAAAATTCTAGGCACTTGTGTCCTCTAATCTCACTAGAGAGTAGGTGCAATGGCAAGTCTGTCAGGGGAGGGTGTCTGGTGGTGTTTTATTTATTGATGAATCCCCRGTAACTAGAACAGTGCATTTATATAGTTAATGCTTAATCAACAATTGTGGAATAAATGACTGAAATTTCCACTGGAGATAGAAAATCCTGTTTCACCAGGCATTTCATATATTGTTATTGAACTGATAAACCGATACATTGTCTGCTCATAGGGTAGCCTGATAGCAGATTGAGACTTGACTGATTATCTATTAGTGTGGGAGGGTATGGGATCTTTTACTGTTAATAACTTGATACAGAATCACCTTAGTCCATGGTCTAACTTTAATTCACCCATTGCTCTGGTACCATCACTATATACTGTTTAGTTCGATATAAATGAAACTGAGCACATTTTAGATATATACAAATCTCCATTACCTAAAAATTGAGGATGGAAAATTTCCCCATAAAAATCTCTGATAAAATCTCAGCATGTAAGCTCCTCATTTTTTTTCTTCGGTCAGCACCCTCATAAATAACTGGCGCGCAGGTTACTTGCATGTACGCAAGGCACTTCGTGGTGCAGGAAAGAGTGTCCTTGAACAGCAAATGGTAAACCTCAATGTCTAGGTAAGGCCAGAGGCAGCAGGTGRGGGAGGCTGCCAGACCTCATACGGACAGAGTAATTGAGGTGCATGCATAGGAGGTACAATTCCTACGTGTCCTTAATCAAAACCCAGTGTCCCCTCTCTCCGGGAAGGTTCTTCATCAGTGTGGCTTCTAGTTTCCAGAGAGAAATGAGATCAGCSGAACCAGCCCAAGGAGGGGATTGTCTTCATGATGGTTTGATTGGAAAGAAGGCTGCACAGGTGGACTTTCCACCAGCCACACATCCATGTGGGAAGCAGTGGTGGTCATGAGTAGCTCTGGTTTCTTTTTCTTTTCTGCGTGTCTTTTTTTTTTCCCCCAAGCCATAAAAAACATATAGGGTAAAGAAAAGTTTACAGAGAGTTCCAAGAATCAGATGTGCCTACGTCTGATAGAAAGACCGTGATCTCTAGAACTTGAGACGGGCAATTTGTCAGTTGGTGAGGCTGGTGAGGCTGACTGACCTGTTGTGTGAAACTGCCAAAGACAGTCTGAACTTGCCTGGTGGCTGCTCCATGGCTTCAGTACTGCAAGGACCCTCSCTTCCATCCTCAGGATAAGGTGCCCCAGAAAGTTCTCCAGATAGGTGTGTGTGTGTGGGGGGGGGCACACACATTTGTGAGGGTGGGAGGCTTTGGAAACAGAAATGTGCTGACTGAGGATCCCAAAGTGTTTTTTTTTTTTTTTTAAGGAAATTGTCTGCACTCTGAAAATATGACAACCCTATGAGAAGCCCGACATTACTAATGCTTTTTTTATGCTATCCTCTGGGCAGGGATTAATGGACAGTGGACCTGAAATTGAGAGTGAAGAAGAGTCAGCCTTAACCCTATCAGATCTTTCCTTTGTGTGCTATCAGTCCCCCAGGGCAGACCACCAATGATCCTGTCTATTCCAAATAAAGTAGAAGATAACCATCTTTCAGCTTTATTTCAGTTTTTTTTTTTTCTAGGTAATTTTCCACCAGACCAGAGGAGGCAGAGGTTAAAAGGGCACAGGCAAAAGGTGATGGGAGAACTCTGGTGTTGTCTCTGGCCTGGCCTCTTGGATGTGGACAGGCCAGCATGTCCATGAAAGATTCAGGAAGGCCTTTGACCTCTGCAGGAGAACAGGGACCTTGGGGCGAGCTGAAGATGTGAACCCATGCGTGTCCAGTGTTGGGTCAAGGGAGCATCCTGCAGCCAACCCTGCTCCATTCCCATTCCACACCACACACCCTGGCAGGCTGCCTCTCCAATCCTCAGGATTCTGTTGTAGAAACAGTTTCAAAGCCTGAAGTTGAGTATCTGCCCTCAGCTCAGAAATCAAGCCTGAGGGTATCCTTTTTGAAGATGTCGTTCCTGGGGTCTCTGGTGGCTTCTTCATAAGAGACTGGGGATGGGTAGACTTCATTTGATTCACTTTATACCATATCTTTTGGAGGAAACGTAGGCATCTGGAATGGCAGCATTTTAAAATCCAGAAAGTTGTGAAATCCTTTGACTAGCAACCGTGTTGGGTAGTGAAACAAACCTAAGTGAGATTGTATCCTCTCAACCCTCTTAGTTATGAAATAACAGCAGCAGGGCTCTTTTTCATTAACTGTAATGATCAATATTGACAGTTTTCAGATGGGTTCGAAGTCACATAATTTGTAAAAGAGACGAGTTGAGGTTATCCTCCAAACATGAGTATGTCCAACCTTTACTCCCTTGCTGAAAAAAAAAATGTATATTTAAAAGCTTCACTGATAATCCTAAATACTTCCTATATTTTGTTCAGATGAGTCCGTGAAACCCTTCAGGTTTGCTTTTCTCTCGTTTTGTATTTACACTGACCTCATCTACATCCTCTTGATCCAAGGTCCACTGTTTATTTTCATATTTTGCATTTACTATGTTTTTGTTTTAAACACAAATACAAGCAATGATAGAGTGGGAAATACAAGTAAACCTTTTTCTGTATCCTTAAACTCTGTATGAATGAGTATTTGCAAGTCCTCTTTATACTGTGCCCAGGATAAATCTGTCATCAGCAAAATTGAGGGCTTGCAGAAAAGCAATACCCCAGCTGGGAGTTTGGCAATTTAAAACTTTGAAAAAGCTTTTGCTTTTTTTTAAATTTTTCAATCACATTCTAAAATTTTTGAATTATTTTTTTCCAAAGAGGCACCGTTTTTTTTCCTTGTGTAGAATAATTGGATTTCCCTCCTGAAATAATCTTATATTATTGCTTTGAGGGTCAAATGATGTATTTTAACCTCCTGCCTGATTCAAACTTGGCTGAAGAGATTTATTTCAAATTTTGCAAGGTAATTGACATTTAGAACCATGAAAGTACATAAGGATACTCTTTTGCAAACTCTTGAACAAGTGAAGCAGAATTGATAAATTAAAGCTGAGTGGGAGTTTAAACCCAAAGTGAAGAAATTCTTTAGTGATAAGGCAAATTATTTACTCCACAGAAAACTAGATTTTAATATTACTGTACATCAGATATTCACTATTTGTGGATTTAAATTTCTATATTGTACTTCTGCTAATTTACCATATGGTGTCCATTTTTCTTCTTCAAGCTTGTAAAAAAATTTGAAGGTGCCTAATAGAATGTCAATATTATCTGTTTATTTCATCTTTRTCATGAAAGATAGCAGTATTAATATATTTCTTACACGCATATAGGCTGATTAAATACATTTTTCACAGCAAGCACCCTTTTGAAATTGCTTCAGTTTTATTCCTGTCTATCTGTCTGTCTGCTTGACTCTCTATCTATTTTTTATTGGGATAACTCCCACTGGTAGGGAATGTCTTTTATAGTAAGCCTTCTTAGGCACAATTCACAATGGTGGGGGGCAGGGCAAGTATCTTTGAGCATCTGTGTGTCCCCATGAGCATTTTGTGAATGAAACCCATCAATCAAGCCTGGGTGCTGCTCAGGACCATTAGCCCAGCTGTGGGAAGGTTCACTTGTCAGTATCTTCAGGCTCCCATGCCTTTTGGCTACTACCTGCCACCAGAGGCCTTCACCTGTCCCCAGGCTCCCTGGTCCTGGGAACTCCAAGTAAGCTCAAGGTCAGAGTTCTCCCTTGAGAGAAACATTACAAAGAACAAAGTTTGGGTACAAAAGAGGCTGCAGGTGTTATCATAGTGTCCCCAAGTCCTGCAAATAGAAAGGGCAGTTAGGGAAGTTCCATTCTGGAAAACTAACATTTGGGGCCTTCGAGAACACACCTCTGGGGACCTTTGAGGTCTAATGATGACATTGTGCCAAAGTGCCCCTCCTTGTCCTGATGTTTGCATTCATCAGGGCAGCTGCCCGAGTGTCACATGGCTACTTTGCCAGGCACCGTTTCTTGACTCATAGAGCATGGCACTTCCAGGGTGGAGAAGAGCAGTCCCCAGCAAGGTGACCACTGTATGCCAAAATGTATTTCCAAAATGGACAGAACCAAAGTAATAGATCAGAAAAGACAA